CACTCAAGACATTCCCATACATGTTCCATCCTAGCAGCCAGCAATAATCAACCAGAATAAGAAACAGAAATAGATTCATCCTGACTGCCCCTGTAAAAAAGTAGGACAAGGACCCTTCTCACACCACGCTAGACCCATGTTGTCTAGACCAATCAGCAACCGGTGGGTGACGGGGTCAACATCATGCGAATCACCTTTACTTCCCATGAAATTTCCTGGTACTAATTTTAATATAGGAAAGCAGGCCAATTATTTTTTAGAAGAAAAAAACCTTTGGGCCAACAAACAAGCATCTAACAATATATATATATATATATATATATATATATATATATATATATATATATATATATATATATATATATATATATATATATATATATATATATATATATATATATATGGTGATAAAGGATTCTTTTTAAAAGCTTTGATTCTCTTAAACAGTGAAACACTGTATCAAACAAATAAAATGACAAAAATGTTTCTAAGATAATGTATGACACACACACTAAAAAAATCAGAACCAATCAATAGATGGTTCTTTCACATTTAATAACAAACAAAAAAAACCTTGGAGTGAACCTGGAAAAGTAAGTCAGTGCCGTCTTTAAAGTCAAGACAAGAGACAATGTAAAAAAAAAAAAACCTTCTCATGGGATCAATAAGTACAGGAAATTTAAAGCGGTTGCGGTCTCAGAGGACTGAGCACGCTTGAGAATTCAAAAAGTGCAGTTTTGTCGAATGTGATGCCACAACACAAAACAAAATTCGGCTATCCTCCGAATAACGGTCACAAATTACCGAGGCATACTGCCATGGGTATCCCAAGCGCCGCTACATGCGGCACGGAGAGGGGCTAAACTAGATGGCTGGGACTCACAAGCAAATAAAATGGAGGAAGCTGCTGCTCGTGAGTCCCAGCCATCTAGTTTAGCCCCCCTCCCCCCTCTGCATCTAACGTAGCGGTGCAGGGTAAACTTTCGGCGGTGACTTTAACTCGGCAGAAGCTTTTCCGCTGTATGCGGTATAGTCACCGGAAAGAGGTCTGCAATATACATATGACTGAGGCCCTGTTAGGGTATATTTCCGGCCTTGATAATTTGGGTTAGTTATTTGGAGGATAGACCAAAATTCTCAAATGTATGCTTCTAGATTTTATCTGGGTACTATTTATTAACAACCATAGCTGCTTCGTCAAATAACTGACCCAAGCTATATATCAACATACTTTTACAAAAGCTTGACTTTCTTTTAATATAAATATACCAATGTCTGCATAAGAAATTTACATAGAAGAGATTATTGATCTAATATGAACTTTTACACTTAAAAACAAGCAGATACAAATCTATAAATGAGAAAACTGCATGTAAATACAAATTACTGTGTAGATTTGGATTTACTTAACATTATTAATGTTTGATTATAGATATGTATACAAGAAGGAATTAATGAATGAATTCATAATCCTATTCCCCCTGTGTGGGTTCCGGGGCCCTATTGTGGGGAAAACAAGAATAGACCCACTGCCTCCCCAAAAGCATGTCGTAAGAGCCGACTAACTGGGGAGCTTCCTTTGAAGTCGGAGTGCATCTGCCTGAGAGGCAAGGAACCAGCAGTCTGCATTCAATTGAATCAGATCTGTAAAACTGATGCACATGCAACACTCAGGTTCTGGAGCATGACTGCAGTCCAGAAGTGGACGAACAACCAGAACTTTACGCCAGAGTGTACAGCTGGTGAACACAAAGAAGAAGAAATAAACCTATTCAAAAAAAAAAAGATAGTTTTTTTAAAACTGCAGCAGAAAAAATTAATTATAACTTCTTAGAAGGATAAATGGTCTATTTGGAATCTGCCCTGTTGAACGACCATTCAGGACGCAACTCCTTGAGTCGCTGAGTTTGTCAAATCTTTAGGTAGTGGTAGAGTATGCAGTATACACGTCTAACTCAGTGAATGCAATGGTGTATACAAACCATTCAAAGATCACCTTACAACCCACACAAGCCATGGCAAACAAGTTCAGATCAAATATTTGTACAGAAAAAAAATATATTACAAAATGGCAAGTGTTTTGAATTAGGCTGAAAAGTACAACCTTACTGTAATAATAATTTACAAAAATAGTAATGATTCACTTTGATATTCAGAATGACACCAGATTTGATTTGGCAATAACATAAGTATATCTTGCGGTATACGGAGATGCAAAAGGCAATATTCACAACAGTCATGAAACAGACATTTTGTTTAGGTTATGTTTAGCTGAAGAGAGCTGATGAGAATAGTCAAAAATAAGCAAACTTTATTTTCTTAGAGTTGAGAATAGGGCCTGCATCCCTGTCTAACATTCTGCCCTTAGATGTTTAATAGGATGATTCCAACACTAGTCTTTAACCTGATAAACCAACTGACACAGACTGATCAGCACTCATAGAAAGAAATAGTTAACACAGGAAAGTGTCTGGCTGTTCATTATCATAGTACACCTGTCCTGCATCAAGGCGCTCTTGTCTCTTGAAGGTGGCAGGCTCATTTCTCAGCATGGTAACTATAGCTTTAGATTTTTATGTTGTCTAGTGTGTCTTATCTACTTCTTTCTATGCTATGAGTGCCAATCAATATATAAGTTTGTGTACATCATACTGTTTTGTACGGCCTCAAATGGTACCCCCTCTGCTAAAACTGACTTATCTATAATGAAGATGATGAGTATGGAATAATTTTGTATTATCACATAATCTTCTGTGTTCCTTTCCCTTAATTTATTTATATTTATTTTTAAGCTAAAGAATATACGTTCTGTGTCTATAACTAGTAATGGTAAACAAAATTACACAAATCTTGCATTTTGAGTACAATAAATTATTATTCTTCACTTTCACCGCTTCAGGTATCAAACGAGAAACAGGGTTCTGGTTCTCATTCATACGACCACCTCAGCCAAAGACACTCAATACTGTTAAAGAATTTCTGAACCAAAGACACTTGATACCGTTAATGAGTTTCTCGACCAAAGACACTCAATACCAGTATAGAGTTTCTAAACCAAAGATATTCAATACCGTTAATAGAGTTTATAGACCAAAGACACTCGATGTACAGAGTTTATCTTATGTTATCGTTCCACCTTGTTCTTGAACTATCCTGAGCTCCTCTACATTCCCACCTCTGTTGAAGATAACCTGTATGACGCACTCTGACAATCAATCAAAATAATGCAGGTTCCCATCCTGGCAGACTCAAATTTGTGTTGTGTTCTACAGAGCACTGGGGAGAAAACAACACCATCGTCTGGAAAGATGTAAAGGTGTCAGCAATGTTCAGATATGGGAGCATAAGGCATTCCTCTAACTAGGCAAACAATTTTAATTGCTGTCTTTGTTTATATTATAATTCAGTGTGAGTTCTAACAAACTGTTTCTCGTATAACCTAAAATCTGGTTTTTATCTCTGCCCTTGTGATTTTTGCAGCTCTTTTTGTACATGGCTACTATAAATAGTACAGTAAGCACAGAAACAAATAACTTGGCTGGCTCTGCCTAAGTTGCAGATGTCCGGGATATTAATCACGCCAACACTGCTAATACCCTTAGAAAGAAAGGACGATAAGGGATTTTGGTAGCACAACATGTCTACACTGTTGTTAAGCATGCAAGAATCATGAGTAAAGATCGTTACCACCTGGCATGAGAGGCACACTGGATGTATGATAAGTCTAATCAACCGACACAGGAATGACAATATTAACCAGGTACGCAGATATATATGCTGAAGGGAAAATCTAAGGACGTGTCCGGAGTGCTGTGAAGATAACCCAACTCTTGACTCAAAAATGAACACACTATTTTCAAAGGGTTAAGAACTGGGCGAGCTGGCCTGTCCAACATTCTATGCATAAAATACAAATGAAGACAACAAGTGTAACATTACATTTAATTGTAAACCTAGCAATGTTTACATAAATCAAAGAGCCAGATAACCCAGCAATCATACATTGGTGGGAATTTATTTTGTATGTCAAAACAACCAAGGTCAACGTAATAATAATGTATATATACAAAAAAGTTCTTCTTCAGTGATCAAAGTTTTGCTACGCATCTATTCAAGTCTGGGTCATAGACAGGATGGTTCCCTTTAGATCTTCACTGGTGTCTCATAGTTTCTCTTGTTGGGAGAATCCTGTTGGCCAGATTTCTTCTCTCTGACTGGTAAAGTCTGGGTAATTCTGTAAGACATGCTCTGGAGTTTGCTGCGGTGAACCACAACCAAAAACAGCAGAGTAAGCAAGACCCGTTCAATGTAGGCAGGCTCTCGAGTTGGTAAAAAACAACCCTGTTCATATACAATCAACACACAACAGGAATGTCCTATCAGTTCCATAGATACAGTGGCAAAAAGGCAAATAATGATAATTTGGTTTGCATAACAATGCCCACCTATGTCATCCCAAACACGTCTACATGGCCAACTATAATCAGCTGCCTTATCTCGACATACACAGTTAGGAAAACAAGCTCACTGTCACTGCTATGAAGCCAACCTAGATGACTATCAGTAACCCACTAAGCCGCCACTATTGCTATGCACACAAATTAAAACAATCCCTATGCACTGTAAAGCACATAGAATCCTCCATTAAAAATAACTTCTCTTTATCCCTTAACAAAGCATAGGCTCTCAACCCCCATTGACCCTATGTCCTCCTTATCTTTTTTAACTTATCCTCGAATATCTATTCCTTATAATTTTTTTTTTTAGGGTCTGCCTTCATTTCTAAGCCCCTGCGGGTTCCAGTGTAAATACATTCTAGTTATACTGTGCTCAAGTGTTCTCAACGTGTGTCCTATACAACACCAGCATTTATTCTTCACCTCATGATTAACTGGAATTTGTAAAATAACTACACCACTTAAAATACTTTCACAAGCATTCTAAACAACAAGAGAATACACAACCACACTGGCACATGCTAGTGCAACCCAGCCAGTTATCTACCACAACTCTGATCTCTGCATGTGAGGCAGTGTTTTCCTGCCACTGCTCGGTCGAGGGGACGTGGCCTCTACTGGGCTTCCATGCATGATGGCTGACATCTCGGAATGGTTCATGGCTTTCTGTCTGTTTTGGAGTCCTTCTGGGCCACCCCTGGGAGTTGCCTGTTTGCGCCTGAAATAAACAATTTTGGGGGGAAAGTTAGACAATTGGTAAGGAAAGTAATGAAATGTTTAGCGTGTAAAAAAAAGTACGTAAAGGACTCTTTTCCACACCTTCATATAGTGCTAGACCTATATTTGACAGACCAATCGGCACTCGGTGGGTGATGTGGTCTACATCAGGCCGGCCACCTTTACTTCCCAGGACTTCACCTAGTACCCACTCAAAGCTGGGTAAAAAAAAATCCAGTTGTTTGAACTCGAAACCAGGACCTTCGAATCTGCAGATGAGTGTCTAGCCGTTACACCACAGTGCTACCTTTTGAAAAAAAAAAGTGTGAACCTTTAATTTGCATGGAAACAAATAATGAAATAAATCACTTCAAAAAATGGTGAAATCTACCAACAAATCTCCTTTTCTCTCGTACATACAGATTAACTCAGAGAAGTGAGCCTGAGGTGTACTGAAAAGTTGTACCCAGAAAGTAGTGTCTGTACTTTTATTTCTTGTGCAGATCTTCACTTTCAACATTTGTTATAAGTGTATTATTCTGGCATGGGCCACCAAGAAGGGTGTTGTGCCTCATTGCTTGCAGTGATGTGTCACGCCTGTATGTCAGATTTTCATCTCTCTGGAATAATCTGGAACATCTTTCAAAGATATATTCTGGAGTTTCTAGCCTGGCTCCACTTGTGCAAGTGGCAGAGCCATTTAGATCTATTTGGTAATGGCGTGCTCTGAGTTGACAGTGTTCTATTCTGAACTACACAGGCTCTGAGTTGACAGTGTTCTATTCTGAACTACACAGGCTCTGAGTTGACAGTGTTCTATTCTGAACTACACAGGCTCTGAGTTGACAGTGTTCTATTCTGAACTACACAGGCTCTGAGTTGACAGTGTTCTATTCTGAACTACACAGGTTCTGAGTTGACAGTGTTCTATTCTGAACTACACAGGTTCTGAGTTGACAGTGCTCTATTCTGAACTACACAGGCTCTGAGTTGACAGTGTTCTATTCTGAACTACACCGGCTCTGAGTTGTCATTGTTCTATTCTGAACTACACAGGTTCTGAGTTGACAGTGTTCTATTCTGAACTACACAGGTTCTGAGTTGACAGTGTTCTATTCTGAACTACACAGGCTCTGAGTTGACAGTGTTCTATTCTGAACTACACAGGCTCTGAGTTGACAGTGTTCTATTCTGAACTACACAGGCTCTGAGTTGACAGTGTTCTATTCTGAACTACACCGGCTCTGAGTTGTCATTGTTCTATTCTGAACTACACCGGCTCTGAGTTGACAGTGTTCTATTCTGAACTACACAGGCTCTGAGTTGACAGTGTTCTATTCTGAACTACACAGGCTCTGAGTTTACAGTGTTCTATTCTGAACTACACAGGCTCTGAGTTGACAGTGTTCTATTCTGAACTACACCGGCTCTGAGTTGACAGTGTTCTATTCTGAACTACACCGGCTCTGAGTTGACAGTGTTCTATTCTAAACTACACAGGCTCTGAGTTGACAGTGTTCTATTCTAAACTACACAGGCTCTGAGTTGACAGTGTTCTATTCTGAACTACACGGGCTCTGAGTTTACGGTGTTCTATTCTGAACTACACAGGCTCTGAGTTGACAGTGTTCTATTCTGAACTACACGGGCTCTGAGTTTACGGTGTTCTATTCTGAACTACACAGGCTCTGAGTTTACGGTGTTCTATTCTGAACTACACGGGCTCTGAGTTTACGGTGTTCTATTCTGAACTACACAGGCTCTGAGTTTACGGTGTTCTATTCTGAACTACACGGGCTCTGAGTTTACGGTGTTCTATTCTGAACTACACAGGTTCTGAGTACACAGTGTTCTATTCTGAACTACATAGGCTCTGAGTTTACGGTGTTCTATTCTAAACTACACAGGCTCTGAGTTGACAGTGTTCTATTCTGAACTACACAGGTTCTGAGTTGACAGTGTTCTATTCTGAACTACACAGGCTCTGAGTACACAGTGCTCTATTCTGAACTACACAGGTTCTGAGTTGACAGTGTTCTATTCTGAACTACACAGGCTCTGAGTTGACAGTGCTCTATTCTGAACTACACCAGACAGATGGGATGAAGGAACAGACTGTGAGCACTATGTGACATTTAACGGCACAACAGCATGATGACCTCTTGTCTGAAAGATTTCGGCCTGTGCGTTTCTGCCCAGGTAATAAATACTGTCATGCTCTGGTCAGCGATTTCTCTTATCAGTTCTCAAATTCTTCTTTTTTCTTTTCTTCTTTGCCTTCACCAGCTATAAACTCTGGTTCTGTATCCACTTCTGAACTTAAGCCTTGTTCTGGAACCTGAGTTCTCAGTGCACATCTGTTTTACAGATCTTATGTTTATGCAGACTGTTGTGCAGATGCACTCCGACTTTGAATGAAACATCCCTAATTAGTCGACTCTTACAACATGCTTGTAAGGGGGCAGTAGGTGTATTCTATTTTCCCCCCATAATGGGGGCCCAGAACTGCCACGGGGAAGTTCTCCGGTTCATCTGCAAAGACTGCTTTTAGCAGTGTACTGCTCCAGATGAAGACTTGAGAACAAATGTGATGCAGTGAAAGTGAACAAGATGAACATAAAGACAGACTCAGGGAAAAAGCAAAGGGAAGAAAAGCACAGATTTAAACAGCAGACAGGTAAGGGATAGTAAGATTACAGATTAAACAAAAAACACAGGACAAGCCACAACTCACGGAGTATTATCCTCCGCTAGATTTTTGGGTATTCTAGGTTCTCTGACCACCCTTTTCTCTGGAGTGTTGCTGTTAAGGAAGATGTCGTTGACGGAATCAGTTTTATTCTTTTTGGCTATGCCTTCACCGTCAGCTCGCAGGCGGTGATGGGGTGGGATCTGATCCCAGCCACTGGTTGAGAGGAAAGAAATTAAATTAAGAAAAAAATTAAACATATGCAGCATTCTACTAGTTTAATAAACTGTCTTTACAGTAAGATTTACCACTTATTAGGGTGGTGAGACAAGCTGAGTCTCAAGCCAGAGTATCTGAGGCGGCATGGCTAGCACAGTAGCCATAGAGTGTACAATAGGTTTTGGTTCTATTTTTGCACCGAACTAAAACACATTTAATCTCCTTGCCCAGGATTTAAACTGGACCTCCTGAATGACAGCACCCCCCCTCCCCCCGCCCACATTCTAACTACTCATCTAACCACCTCTCTACTTGGTGAATACATGCATACACGCCATGCTGCAATGGCACATCAGAAGCAATATCAGTATTATTCTGCCACCGTTATTTTCATGAGAAAATATCTGCCAACCATTTTATTAGGCTCTGTCAAGCCCAGAGCAATACTGCTGAGGTATTGAACCACATCACTGCACTATGGATACCTTGTAGTTGTATCACTCCACCTCACTGATCTAACCAAAGCATAGTCATAAACTGGAACATGCATATGGGGTATTTAATGGCCCTCTACAAGTGTCTCGTCAAGTAGATCCAGCACAACAAAATTCCATTATTTTTCTAGCAAATTCTACCACATAAATAAACAGCCTTAAGAGCGAGCAGATTTATGAACAGATTTATGAGCAGATTTATGAGCAGATTTATGAGCAGATCTATGAGCAGATCTATGCCTATGAGCATGAGCAGTACTATGAGCAATCTATATAACCTAAGATCTATTCAATCAAGCAGATAGAGATTTCTGAGCAGATTTATGAAAGACCAATCGGAACAGATTTATGAGCAGATTTATATGCCCAGGGGTACAGAAAATATAACCTAATATTTCAACAGCAATAGGATTTCTATATTTTTAAAGACCAATCGGCACAAGATGGGTGATGTGGTCAGCATCACGCCGGCCCCCTTTACTTCCCGGGACTGTACCCGGTACCCACTCAAGGCTGATAGAAATGTGACAGATCAAAAAATAGAAAAGGGAACTGGAGAGTAAAGTCTTTAAAAAAAAAATGGGGAAAGAATGTGGTGAGCTTCGTGTGATTTAAAAATGGGATAAAATGGCTTGGTCTGAGTTGGTTGAGAAACTATGCTCTAGTGGCGGAAGGGGGGGGGGGGGGGGGGGGGGGGGGGAGAAGAAATAAAGGGCAGAAGCAAACTTTTAATACTATATTAATCAATGTACAGAACTAGAGAGGACATCCAGAATATGGTCAACTTTATCACAAGAAAGAATTTATCTGTAAATGCAAATGTAAGGGATGCAACCAGAGAAGAAGAAGAAAAAAGGGACACCCAGAGATAACCAAAGTGGACTTAACAAACTTCAGGACTAGTTGTTCTTTTCTTCTGGACACCATACTAAGATTTCATTTCCCTTATTGGGTGAGCCTGTCCAGCCTGGCGCACGAGATAGCTTTGGGAGGACAGATTTCAAGGACAGTACCAGTAGGTGCTATCAGATTGGTCAGAATGTATTAGTTAATCTAACTTCAAGACAACTATCACACCAGCTTTCACCACTTTCCTTCCCCTTTCCTCCACACACACTGGGAATGCTCAATGCCCAGTGATGTTGATAGAGATGATGCATAACACAAACAAACCCACGCGGATCTGATGGTCATGGTTTGAATCCCAATGCAGTCTACTTTTTTTTTTTTTAATTATATTGGCTCCCAGGTTGACCCAGACTGAACCCTTTCAGTCCCAGGGGTCCAGCATCAGAGGTCCAAGGGGTGGTAAAGAGGGATGTAAAATTGGTGCGTCTTCCAATAATTGGGCTTCTAGGTAGGAGCCTATGAATGTGTGGTAAGTTTCTTGGGACTGAAAGAGTTAAATGGGTACGAGGCAAAGTCCTTGGAAGCGTGCTGTTGACCATGTCATCCACTGGTGTCAACTGGTCTATAAAATATAGATCTGGCACTACACGACCAAGACTCATGAAAGCACAGAAAAGGGTCCTTCACTTCACTGACACACAAACCCAAAATTTCTCATGTCATCTGAAAACGACATTCATATGTCATAGATCACTTGATGTTGCTTACCCGCCTGAAGATTCCTGGTGTAATCGTCCCTGCTTATTAGATGCCTTAGCATTCTCTGATTTAGCCTGTGGCACACTTCTGTTTTTGTCAATCTTCTGCAATGAAGACACAAAGTTTACTAGGAATACAACACGGAAAAAACAAGCTGACCCGAATGTGTATATAATGTAACAAATTTCTATCTCTGTAAATTTATACGGACAGTGGATGACAACGAGGTCGTGAGCCTAAGAATTTAGGGCCACATAGCTAATGCAGCTGCGTTTAGTTTTTCCTAAGAGAAAAAAACTTCCTTTTCCTTTTACAAGATTAGAACTTGGGTCTAGTTTTTCCAACAGAAAAAAACTTCCTTTTCCTTATACAAGATTAGAACTTGGGTCACCCGCATGAGAGCCAACGTTCTACTAACCTGTCAGCCACTCCTAATAAATTTTGACTTTTTCTTCTTCGCATTCACTGGCTGTAAACTCTGGCAAAAAGTTCACTTCTGGAGTTCCAGAACTTGAGCTTTGTATGCATACGTACTTTACCAGTCTGGCTTATTTATAGGCAGACCTGATTTCCTTGCCTCGCAGACTGATGCACTCCAACTCTGAAAGAAACAACCCTAATCAGTCATGCCTGTTAGGGGGCAGAGAGTCTATTCCTGTTCCCCTTCACTGGGGCCTGAGAACCCATACAGGGAGTGTACTTCATACTTCTTGTCATCAGCTGACCTGCAGTCACCCCGACTTATGTTACCACCTATTCAGCCTGCTCTATTCTATTTTCAAAATGCTGTGGAATTTTCATGTGAGTTGTCTGCCCTAGCCCGAGAAGGCTTCCACTCATATCCACCACCTTATAACTTAAGATCAGGGGGTAAGCACATCATCTTTTTCTTATCTGTAAAAGAAAATCCATACCATCTAACACAGAGGTTCTTAAAATGTGGGTTGTGACCCCTTTGCACCACTTGGTGATGAATATAGGTATGCGACAAGCTAGATTTTGTGAGGGCCCTTTGGGAACAAGTGAACAGTGCGGAGGCGCAGATAGATCATTACGGTCTGAAGAGAATGGCACTTCGAGGAGTTACCACGGGATCTGGCCGACGCTCAACACTCAGGGTAATGATGAGAAGGATATACAATGAGACTGTTACTGGTGCCATGGGAATTGGAACTCTTCACTTGCTGCTGAGGATGGGTACGGAGCACTTATGGGGGTGTCCCAAGTGCTGTGATGTTGATTCTTAATTCAACAACCATTTTACAGGGGTGGCCTAAGACCAAAGGAAAACAAAAACACACTGACGTTATGAAATAGCAACGAAAATAACTGTATGGTTGGGTCACCACAAACATGAGGAACTGTATTGAAGAGTCATAGCATTTGGAAGGTTGAGAACACAGGTCATAAGAGACATAACCTGTTTCTTTTTAAATGAAACTAGCTGCCCTAATCAGCTGATGTCTTCCACATGGAGGTCCCAGGGCTGCATTCTGGAGCACAAAGGACAGATCCACTGCCCACTAGCAAGCATGCCGCAGGAGGCCACTAATTAAGGATGCTTCCTATGAAGTCTGAGTGCATCTGCTTGAGGGATGAGGAACCAAGAGTCTTCACACAAATAAGCCAGATATGTAAAACAGATCTGCACACAAATTCAAGTTCTGGAGCAAGTCCAGAAGTGGATGGGCAACCTGGACTTTCTGCTGTAGTTTACAGCCAGTGAACGCTAAGAAGAAAAATCACCTGACCATCATGTGACCTTTTCTCTCCGGTGGCGCGAACCACACTTAACACTTATGGCAACTGTCAGAGTGTAACGTTTCTCATTATGAGGTAGCAGGTCCTTTGCAGAACATCACTCCCATCAGGTCTGCCTGAAAGAAAAAAGGTCCCTCGCCAGCTCTCCCACCTCGCACTTTAATATTCAAGCAGTCAGTTATATCCTGTGTCCATCTTTGTGTTGGTCGGCCCCTGCCCTTCCTTCCTGGTACAGTGTTGTGTGTTATTATTTTTTTCCAATCGCCATGGCGCTTGCTATGACCAAAATATTTTAGCTTCTGAGACAACGCTGTTTATTAGCCAATCTTCCTTGATATATTGAAATCTTTTAAAATGTCAGTATTTCTTCTCTTCTTTGTCCATGATACTCTGATAAATTTTCTATAGAATTTCAGCTCAAATGCCACTATTTTATTTCTTAAGGACTGGGAGATAGTCCATGACTCACATCAGTTATGTTGCGACAGGGAAGAGGAATGCTTTAAAAATTTAAATTCCGATTTCCTTACTGATGCTTAACCACAGATTTTTAACAAACCTATTCTATAAAATAACAGGCCAATTTCAAAATCACAAACCTTACATTCCACTGGTTACAATACTAAACAAAAACTAAATGCAGAATAATAAAACTGTCACAGCTCAGGTTGGGAAGCAACAGCTTTGAACTGTACAGCTTGCATATCGGTTTTTCCTGTTCAGCAGAAATTAAACCCTCTCTTCAAAATAAATCAAGTAAACCGCTAATCCTGAGCACAAATTGCACCCTCATCTCCACTTACTTTTCCTCCATTTAAATCAAGTCTAGGTGGTTGTGCCTTATCAGAGTCTGGGGATGGAGTTGCACTGGAATGATTTACTAGCCCGTTTGTGGTGACCTGATCTCTCTCCTGGAGACCATCTCCTTCTGTCTGATGGAAAAACAAAAAAATGTTTTTAAAAAAAGGGGGGTAAACATTCATTTCCTGGGCTGATTTTACACAGAATCACCCACACTGCACTAATGGATACCTCTACAGACACTCTAGTTTTCTCTTGTGGATCATAAGCTGTGTTACTCAACCCATACAATCCACTAGTAAGAATCCAAGTGTGAATATTCAGGATTATATACTTGACAGAAAAGAAATACTGACATCCTAAAAGATCTGAACGAAAAAGAAGATTAGCTAACAAACAGCATCTTGTCTCAGAAAGTGAAATATTTCAACCACATCAAGCACCATAGTGGACTGGAAAGAACAGCAGCAGAAGCAGGCTGCCTGGAAAGAGAGGCAGGGACTGACCAGCATGAAGATGGGCACAGGATATAAGTGATACCTTGTATTTTTTTTTAAAAATCAAAAGGCGGGAGAGCTGGCGAGAGACCCGAGTTTCTTTCAGGCAGGCTGTGATGAGGACAAAGTTCTGCAAAGCACCTGCTGCACGATGATGATACTGATACTTGACAAGTAATTGTTTACCAGGCGATTTTAAAAATCCACAGTGCTAGCAAGAGTGTGAATATTCAGGATTACATGCTTTATAAATCTTTAATTTTATTAGTGCTCACAGAATGTAAACTCCGGCGGAAAGTTCTGGTTGTTCGTCCTCTTCTGGACTTTGCTTTTAAGTTATTTGTGCACCTCTGTTTTACAGATTTGGGTTATTTGTATGCGGACTGTTGGTTCTCGCTTCTCAGGCAGATGTACTCCAACTTAAAAGGAAACATCTCTAACTATTCTCTTTTTACGACATGCTTGTTATGGTGGCAGCAAGTCTCTCTGTTACTGGCATCTTTATCTTTCAACTATAAAACATCTCTGCAGCTTCTATATATTTTTTCACTTTCATTAAAATAAACTCACATATTGTTGGCACTACGCTGAAGTCACCTTGTGCAATTATTAAGATTTTCACTTTGGGGCAGCAGTTTTTGAGGATTTTTAGCTAAGTGCAATTATGAAGATTTTCACCTAATTGCAGCTTTGACGATTTTCACCTAAGTGTAACTCTGGTGGCAATTTTCACCTAAATGCAACTTTAGCAATTCTAAGACCAAGTTTGGCGATTTAACCCAAGTGCACTAAAAAAAAAAAAAACACACACACACACACACACAATTTTCATGCAGATGAATTCCTCAAGTACAATTTTTGACTAGCTTTAACTACATGCAATTTTTGATGATTTTTACAGAAGTGCAATTTTTTTTTACCATTTCCACACAATTGCAGTTTTTGACAATTTCCACCCAAGTGCATTTTTAAAAATGATTTCACCCAAGTGCTCTTTTTTTTTTTACGATTTTCATATAAGCGCAACTGTTTCAACTCTTCACCTAAGTGTAAAATTTACAATTTTCACCTAAGCGCAATTTTTACAATTTTCATATAAGCGCAACTATTTCCACTCTTTACCTAAGTGTGAAATTTACAATTTTCACCTAAGCGCAATTTTTACAATTTTCATATAAGCGCAACTATTTCCACTCTTTACCTAAGTGTGAAATTTACAATTTTCACCTAAGCGCAATTTTTACAATTTTCATATAAGCGCAACTATTTCCACTCTTCACCTAAGTGTGAAATTTATTATTTTCACCTAAGCGCAATTTTTACAATTTTCACCCAAGTGCTAGAAAGCCTCCAACAGCACAATTAAACAGAAACACACCGATACAGCTGCATTTTAAAAAACATTTGTGTAAGTCACTTTTCTTTGTGGAGCCGCTGTGGTGTAATGGCTAGACACTTACCCATGGAACAAAAGTTTGTGGATTCAAATCCAAAGAGAACATGACTTCTTTTCTTTCTCTTTTTTTTTCTCCAAAAGGAACCTTGGCTCCTAAGTTGAGCCAGCCTTACAATGGGTACCAGGAAGTCTTTGGGAGTAAAGGCAGCCACTTTATGAAATGTGACTCCAGCAGGAGTAAAAATAACAACCCCCCCCCCCCCCCCACGCCCCCCCCCCCCCCCCCCCCCGTATAATCTGCTAATTCAACTGAAGTTCCATACTGAAGTAGTTTAAGTTAAAAGGTCTCTCTATACTGGGAAAGCATGAGTGGGATGGCCACAGAGCAAATAAAGGACAGGGTATGCAGAAAATAGCTACATATCACAGGAGACTGCAGAATCAACTGCAGCATCTTTTGGCTGGCTGATTTTACAAGGCAGTTTTATTCTTAGTAGTCTGCCATCACTTACTGAATAGTCAGTGCACATTACCATTATCAAATAGCAACACAAGGAAGTCTACTGCCAAACTGCCTGCAGGTGGAATCAAACCGGGTATTCTGGAATTACGAAGAATGTTTGCAACATCTAAGCCACAGACACATGCAGAAAAGTTATGGTAAATATCAGACATGTGAAAGGGAGAGTATAAACATTATTTTTAATTAACCCTCTTAGCACGGACGGGCCGATTATCCGCCGGCGGATGTCTGGCCAAAAACACGAACGGCTGATCATCGGCCCGATCGTGTTTCGCCTCAAACCGCTAAGAAATCTCCTATTTTGAAACACTGAAAGTGATTCATTTATATTAACTGCTGTATCAGCTTTACACATAGCGACTTTCGAGTGTTTGGTATCGAAGTGAAAATTGTTGTTGAATTTTTTAGATAGTGACCTGAACCGCTAAAAGTATGTCTGACATATTTTTCTGCCCCTAAACTTGATGTTGATAAAATAACTGAATCAAGCGATGACACTAATTCTGTTGATACTGATGCAGGATTTAGTGTTAGTAGTAATAGTGGGAATCAGATGGGGACGCTGTTGTGTTCAGACCACAGCCCAACCATGGCTCAGGGTATATCCACCCGAAGGTGTTGACACTCCGGCACATCCATTTCTTGTGCTGACTGATGGTAAAAAACACATGTCACCTAAAGATATTATTGCTGTTTCTATATATATACATATATATCTGTTTTTGACTATTGAATTGCTTACAACATTTGCAAAAAGGCCAAAGGTCAATAAAAAGATTTCAAATTAAAAAAAGTTTTGTTTTTAGTTTTATGTTTCAAGCATTGAAGTTGAAAATTCAAATTCATATTTTCTATTTTTAGATATGCAAATGAGATAATTTGCATATAAATCAATTAATTTTAACGATAATGTGAAAATCATGAACTTCAATCTATATCCTTCAAATAGAAATATTATTTCATGGGGGTCAGAATAACAGAAATATGTCAAAAAAATTAAATAAAGTAATAACCAAATTCACTGAAAAAATGCTCCGTGTTTTTGGCTAGACCTCTGAAAAACTTCCCGTGCTAAAAGGGTTAAACAAAACAAAAAAATTTAATTAAACTGTATTTTGCCCAAGAAAATATGGTCAATGATTGGATAAGCCACAAACCAATTACAGTTCCTGACATTGTTAAGACCAAGATACAGCAGCAACAAAAACCAATTAATGTTCTAAAAAATTATTAATTTGCTTAAAACGTTAAAAGGAACTGTTACCTTAGCCCCAGGTTTCGCTGAAACTTCCAAGTTAGCGTAGTTCTCAACAAGATTATTCACATCCACTCTACCAGCATCAGAATTTTCATGATGTGCTTCAGGCCTCTCATTGTCAGCATGACCATTGCCAGTACTGGACAGTTCATTCTGCAGATCCTGTCCAGCAGCTTTAGCTCGGGAAGCCTCAAATTTCAGTCGAGATTCAGGGATGATGTCAATAACTTCAGTATTGTGCCCAAACCAATCAGAGGCACGGTTATTTCTCTCGTAATTCGGCCTGCCCTCTTCGAGAATCCGAGGACTACCTAACTGAGCCTCTGCACCGGGTGAATTCAAGCTGTTGTTCATTCTCTTCGTTGACAAGCAAAAGTTGAGAAATTCTGTAATGAAGAATATAAAGACTTAGATAACTTATCGGAACTCCTAAAAACAGTCAATTTCATCACAAGAATTCGTGTCAGTGTAAATCAGAAAGCGGTCAGATAAAAAAAAAAAAAGATACCTTAGAGTAAAAGTACATACACACCCACACACATACACATGAAAGCCATGGGAGATAACCCGCAGTGATCTGTATCACAGTCGGTGTCTTGTCATTTCAGAAATCAATGGTCGTCTATTTTACTGACAGACTCAAAGTATTCGACCAATTATCTTTGAAATGTAAATTAGCCCTCAATTTTGGCCACCTCTAAGTTAGGAAATCAACAGAAAGTCGTATATGGACCATCGAGGGACAATGTTACACTAAGCACGTCAGCGATTCCAAGAAATGATCAACTGCTGCCATGGATTTTTGGGGTGGGGGTAGTTAAGACAGTTGATCCATAACCTACTTTAGAGTAGTTCTACGTTTAAGTGTAGATGATCGACTTCACTGCACCATGTTTTATCCCACACGGCTCAGTCTCCCTCCAAAGAACAGCTAGCTGCCTGCCGAGAGCGCATCGAAGAGCACAAACTTCGTAGCTCCGGTGACGATCCCCAGGGATCTCCGTAAAAATTGCACTTGTGAATTGAAGGGCGCAGCCCTAAAACGAACCCAAGACCTTCAGAACGCGAGGTAAACGGCTTGACCACTTCGCCACAGAGACCCCCGATTTAGAGTAAGTAGGTCATGGTTGATGCGTCCATTCGAGTGGTCGACACTGGTCACATAACTCACAAAAAATATAGGCGCATAACTGACATGTTAACAATCGCAATTTATACACACCATACTGCAACACAGACCGAACAATCAATCACTATAATTTCTCTTTACGCGTTCAGAATTCACACAGATATGAAACCTAAATAACAAAATAATGCTAACATAACTAATAAAAGTAACGATATCGTATCGTATGAAACTTAAAAATAGATAATCACATAAAAACTACACAACGAAACAAATATGCCTACCTAGACACAAGCTACCAGCGAGGTAAAGTCTAGGGCTTCTGACCGAGGTTAACCCTGCCCCTTTTTATTTATTTACCTAGGCATGAAAGGAGCACACCTACTACCTACCTTTGATAGGGAAAGGTGCAAAGGAAGCATGAATGAATACTCCAGCGAGCTCCACTCTCGCGTCGGTCTGCAGCACGCTGCCAAGTGACAGGGACGAGATAACAGGCCCGAGCTCGACAGCTATTATTAATTCCACCCCCCCCCCCCCCTTTTTTTCTTTCTTGTATTCAGGCTATATAAATCTGGCGGTAAATCCAGTTTATATTTGGCTACGAGGATATTTAGTTTGGATACACTTCTGGCAAGCGTGACAGTCCAGTGCTTCGTACCCACTGCCTACCAAAAGGGGGTTGAAGGTCACAAAACTGGCAACTTTCAAGAGGAGGAGGAGGAGGAGAAGACGGCGACCAAGAACGGATTTCATTTTTGAAGTGTAGCTAATTTGGTATGAACGAAGAAGAAGAAGGAGAACAACAACATGGCCCTGGATAAATTTTCGTGTTTAAGGAATGACCGTAAAAAAAAAAGCTCTTTAAATCTCTGTACCTCTTCACCTTACTGACATAGACACTGTCCTTGATATGCAGGTGGTTTGACCACGTATGGGCAGGACAAGAACACAGATTCGATCTGTGATTGTGTGAGACAGTGTACCCTGAAGCCGTTCGATCTGTCTACGCATTTTGGCACTGCATATGAAAATGATAGCAGTGATGATGCTGACGGCGAGGATGGCGCTGATGACAATGATAGTTATGATAGCGTTGACGGCGAGGATGATAGTAATGATGATGATAAACAGGAGCATAGCTGCACACATGATCATCATCAATTCTCTTTATGCCTAGTGGCCCATGAGGCTTCAGAGAGGTCTTTCCATGCTTTCCTGTCCTGTGCAATCTTCAGTGCAGTTTTCCATGTCAGACTTGCCGTATTCAGGTCATTCTCCGTCGTTCGTCTGCATGTGGTTTTTGGGCGTCCCTTCTTTCTCTTTCCCTCGGGTATCCATGTGAGAGCTGTTTTGGCAGGTATATCAGGATTCCTTCTCATAACGTGGCCAAGGCATTTCCAATAGCCGCACACAGAAGCCGCTTAAACCACGTCTTTTCCATATAATGTATCGATCTGTCTGAGGTCTGGCTACAGACAAGGACTGTTCGTGTTAACACTAAAGACTTACACATTTCCTGTAAGTGACCTTACATAACAAAACAAAAAAGAATATGAATGTCTGCTGACTTATTTTTGTTTACACACGAAAAAACTAGCATATGAACGATACAGCCCGGCCCGTAACAGAAGTACTTTGGTCACATTAAATCGTAACAGGGCTTCTAAAACTAATAACGGAAAGCACACTTTCTGAGAAACTGCAGAAACCCAGAGATGTAGGAAGCAGAAAATATGACAAAACATTAGGTGGGATAGCTAATAACAGAATTATCAGAGGAGGGGATTAGACGCTCAGTTTTCATTATTTCGTCATCATCATCCTCGCCATCATTTTCTATTTCTGCGGTTAGGCGTTGTGGAGAGGAACATTTCGGCGATCCACTGCCTGATGGGCAGCAATGCCTATTGTCATTCCGTGTCGTTGTAGAAGCTCTTGAATGTCATCAATCCATATTCTCCTTGGGCGGGCTCTTGCTTTCACTTCTGGTCTTTTCATGTGTAGCGCTTGCGTTGGTAGTTGGTCTGGCTGCATTCTTACTAGATGACCAAACCATTTGACCTTCTGTTTCTCAGTGAATCTGTTGCATGTAGTTGTCTGATATCATTTCTAACTGTCTAGAATAAACGAATCGGCGCCTGTGGCTTAGGCGTTGAGAACACGCTTTGAAATTCCGAGATATCCGCTTCATTTTGATGACAGCAGACCGCTTTGCGTTGATTTCGACAATAGTGTTGTTCACTGAGAAATGGCAAACTACTGAACGTAAAACAAAACAAAAAAAAAACAACGATGCAGCTACTTGCGCAACGCCACGTACAGGCTAGCAACTAACTAGAATATGTCAAGAACTGCACACTCAGTATCTGCGACAAAACGTTGTCACGTTAATGGTTAGTTGCGCATCCTTTACAGGACGTTGCAGAACCAACCCCAACAGCCCCTGCCTGTTGTGTGGTTTTTCTAGGCAAATTTACCTCCAGTAGTTTGCCATTGCTTCTGGACGGTCGGCTTTCTTGATACCACTGTCAAACCCAACGTAAGGCGCGATTGGCCCGCAGCTGTGATCGAACCCGGCATCCCGGCATTACGAAGCGTTCGCATCGACTTAGCCACAGAGCCGACTGTCACGTTAATGACAAAGGTAAAATATAAGTACGCGAAGTTCGCGTCTCCCTAGTAAAATATAGATTCAGGCTCTTACATAGATAACGTCTGAGAATTCCCCCCAACACTCTTCTCTTCTGACTTTCTATCCCCCAAAGGAGCATAGACCCTCAATCAACTCACGCCAAGTCGTTTTATCCTTCGCCATTAGATGGAGCTCTCCCCATCTTTCTAACTTCATTCTCCAGCTCTCTTCTCCGTGTGTTTTTTGGCCTTTCTTTATTCCTATGCCCCTGTGGGTTCCAGTGCAGACATTCTAGTTATGCTGTTTATCATGAACGGAATCCAGTTCAGCACCTTTGACCTGTCTCATCAACGGTCGTTTTAGAGTTTCTCGTAGATGTCCTCGTCTCTGCCATCAATTTGTTTCCTATTTCAGCGCCTCTTTAGTGATTATCTGTTCGCCTTTCCTCTGGATGTGCCAAATATAGCGTCATTATCTTTGTCTTAAAACAGTCGATACCAGTAGCGGGGATGGTCTGTCACTGGTAGACTGTCCACTTCCGGCATCTCGCAACCGAGGTTCTGACTCAGATGGCAAAATACGCATCACAAATAACACCGATGATGGCAGTGGCAGCGATGTGCTGTCAGTCAACATGTTATCTGATATATGCCACACCCCTAGCACCGTACACCCAAACACCATTTGTCCCTATCTCGCAAGGTGTCTAATGTGTAGCTATAAGCTGCCGATAGGAAAATTTCCCATGAAATGTTATAGCCACTTACAAAAATGCTATAAAAAGCTGTTACTGACACCCGGCAGTAACTCGGCGGATGGCGAGGCAAGGTATGAACATTCTTATCCCAGACGTGGCAGATGCCTGGATAAAGGCGCATGCTTTCTAGATGTCAACGTCTGAGTTATGACCCAGATGCGCTGTGAAAAGAGATAAAGAGGCAGGAAGATGACATACATTCTATGAGATAACAGTAAGGAAGAGAAGGAGAATGCGGAGAGAATTTTTCCGTAATTTAGAGATCCCAGCCGGCCTCTGCGTTCGGCTGATGGTCAGCGATCATTTAGAAAACGTTTCAACTCTTAGGTCCGTTGCGTTGCGTTAGGATAGCAAGCCCCTGAAAACGGTAATGAGAATAATGTAGACTTTCTGCCCGGCCGGTACCAGTTGATCACCATCAGGGGGAATTCCCTGTAATTAGGTAGTTTGCATTCTTACATAATGGAGTAGTAGTCTTACGTTACGAGGGGAAAACAGTAGTTTTTATTCTAGTCTTTATATGTTTGCCTGTCTTGCTATTTATTTCAGCAGCAAACCGCCGCCGCCTCTCCCCCCCCCCCCCTCTTTTAATAAGGGTAAAAGGTAGAAAGACGAATAGAAAAGATGTTCTACTCGAGTTATATCGAAAGCGGAAACCCGTAACCTTTCAATGCTTTACGGTAAATGTGAACCAAAGAGCATACGTTATAAAAGCCTTATAGGGATAGGAAAGGCATAAGAGGACGGACATACTGCACAGACTCAGTGGTGCAGCTGTACACGGTGCACCCCCGCCCTCCCGTCCCCATTATAGGTAACTAAGACACGCCCCTGCC